ACTATCGTTCAAGAGATTCTTGCAAGTATTTCGATCAATTGTATTTGAAAGCATGAATGCAATCTACATTTTAAGATGTATTCGGATCTATGGATTTGGGTTTATGGATTGCATATTCTAAAGTTTCATGACAATCGAATTAGGATGATTTCGAAATTCACCCTATAAATTCCATGAATTTTAATATTTATTTTGAAAGATTTTAAATAATATATCAAATCTAGTCATTTGAAATAGTTCTATTTAGATCCACCACTACTTTGCAAACCAAACAAGGGGTGGCCTAGAATAAGCAACCAATTGAAACACAAAGCTAGCTTGCTAAACTAAAGGCAAGGTACAAGCTTTGGGACCTCTAATCTAGCTAAAACAGAGAAAGACAACATCAAACCAATAAAAAACAAACATAGAAGAAGAAAAAAATGAAACCACTAAACTAACCAGACCTAGTTTCATCTCTTCCTTCAAGCTAATTGCCACCATGCAGCCCCAAGAATTTCTTCCACTCCTGTAAAGCTGAGCTTATTATTGCATTTGCAGGCATCCATATCTCCTTAAACACCCACAAGTTCCTAGATTTCCAACAGCCACAATAAACTGAGCTTATTATTGTCAACTAAATCCTGCCTCAGACGTCTCATTTATGTCCAAAGAACAAACATCCCACCACCAGTGTTTATGGGACCCAAATGCAGCATGTGACCCATCACAACTAACGGCAGCCAACTCTCAATGTGTGCATGCCACATAAACAGTGGACATATTAACATGTACCCATCGTGGGTAGGGGAGCATTACTCGTATTACTAGTGTTCTGTTTTTGGTGTTTATATTGTTTTAGCAGTGTTGTTTTCTTTCTCCCAAATTGGAGGCTTATATTTTTTGTTATTTTTATTCTTCTTTAAGAAGTTGTTATTCTTCTATGTAGAAGCTATAGAGTTTGTCAAGTATTGTTGGTGAGTTAGTCCTAGGGCTCATTTGTTTCTTGAGATAGGATAGGATAGGATATGACAAGATCTATCAAATACTCTTTGATTTCACTGTTCTAACTATTGTGGTCTTGTGTTTATAGGCCATGACTGAGAATAGGGATAATAATTGTGTCCTATGGTAAGATGTTTGCTTAATATGTCATGATATTTAGTATCACTTAGAAAAATTTCTCTGCCTCCCCATTAAAGTGAATTGCTAAATACCACATGTAAATTACTAATACCGTCCTCCGAAATTACTCTTTTATCC